AAGTGTCCGGTTCGGCACAACCTCCCCTCAGGCTCAGCGCCGGGGAGTAGTTCTCTCGCCTCGGACCCTAAGTGTCCGGCTCGGCAAAACTTCCCCTCTGGCTCAGCGCCGGGGAGTGATTCATTTAAACCTCCCCTCAGGCTCAGCGCCGGAGAGTAGGTCATTCGCTTCAGACCCTGTGTACTTGGCTCAGCAAAAATCTCGCCTCGGACCCGAAGTGTTAGGCTCGGCGAAATTTCGCCTCGGACCCTAAGTGTTCGGCTCGGCGAAACCCCCCCTCCGGCTCCACGCCAGGGAATGGATAATTCGCCTCGGATCCTAAGTATCCGAGACAGCTTCGGACCCTAAGTGTCCTATTCAGTACTAGTCCTCCGCACTCAGTACCGAGGAATAATTCGCTTTAGACCTCTGGTACCCGGATCAGAACTCTTTCCACCAGACTCCAAGTGTTTAAAACCCTGTGGATGCGGATATATCATAAGTTCATCATAGTCCACCTCACATCAGGAACACATGAGAAGGAAAGAGTATGTATACGTCTACCACAGGCAAGTAAAAGGCAAGGAGGGTTCATTTAACAGTTAAATCATTGTCCATATGAATCATCCTGCGATATCAACTAAACTATTAAAAGGATCTCCTTCTTCCCACAATCCTTGCGTTTCCACGGATAGCATAAATCCGAAGCATAAAGACAATGTTTAGTGTTTAAACACATTACCAGACAGAGAAATATGAACAGTATCAAGAGCATACAGCAAAAACAAGTCAGGCAAAGCCTAAAACGAAAAATTATATTCATTATCCCAAAACAGGCTGTTCATAAAAACAAAATACATGGCTCTACTTCCTCTTCGGATCGAAGGGAGTAGACTCAAAAGCATCCACTACATTAGGACTTGAGGTAGGAGGAGTTGAAGCCGCAGGAGCAGGGGAGCTAGGAGTACCCTTCAGGTGCACCTTCACCATCTCGGCAAAGCGGATTTCGGCTTCCAAAGCCTCTGGCCCTTCATCGTATGGGAAGTGCACCCCCACTTTCTTGTCAAAAGCGTCCGGATCCATCGTCTTAGGGCCTGAGCCCTGATTGTAGCCAGACCGGAACGCTTTAGCACTAGCCAGGTACGCCAGACAAGAGTAGCGCCCCTGCATTTGCTTCCCCGCCTTGAAGCAAGTAGTAAGAGCCTCGGTCAGGCGTTGAACCTCGGCCTGAAGCGAATCCACCTTAGCCTCAGAGGCCGACAACTGCTTCTTTTACGCATCCTTGGCTTCAGAAGCTATCTTCAGATTGGTAGAGGCAGTAGTGGCTCTCTTCTCTGCATTGTCAAGATCCTTCTCCAACTTCTTGATGGAGAGGGATTGAGCTTCAGCAGTGGCGCAGAGGGCCATGGTGTGGTATAGACTCTGTTTAACAGGGAAGCAAATATAAGCATAAAGAGAAACATAAGCAAGCAAGAGTAACTTAATGCTGAAGGAGCAATGCGAACCTCTATAGCCCGGACTGGGGCAGAGGGGAGTAGTTGCTCCAACCCCATTTGGCTGATGGCTTCCTCGTCCTTTGGGAGCCACATTCCTCGAGCCACCGCCAGTGCAGCTGAAGGGTCTGTAATCACAGAATCCCCTGAGTGCAGGACTGACCTGTCAGCCCTGGTGAAGGAAGAAGTCCAAGGAGCCCCAGTCTCAGCCAAGACAAAGGCCCTGACTTCATCTTCAGGTTCGGCCTCTCCAGCCTTTTTCCCTCTGCTTTTAGAAGGGACCTTGCCCTTGCCAGAGGATGAGGGGTTGAGGCGAGATTTCTTCAATGGTGGTTCCTCAATCTCCACTTCATCCTCAGTTGATCCAATGACGACCAACGGTTGGGTATCTTCGGCTTTCTTTTTTAAAGCCTCAGCCCTCTGTATCTCCTCCTCAGTCATGGGGAAACTGTTAAAAGATGGTAGAGACAGATCCATGAGGTTTGCAGCAACGGCACTGGAGGCAATGTCCTTGAGGTTTGAAGAAGTTAGCAGGTCCTCGATAGGCGAGGGGTCACTCCAGACTCGTTCCTTAAGAAAAGAAAGTCTTTTCCTTGCTGCGGAGGATGGGAATGTAGCTGAAAAAACACCAAGAAACTCATAAATACGACGAAATATTAAGACTTGGCAAGGAAAACAGCCAGAACACTTGGTATGAAGGGAGGTTAAATATTCTATACCTAATTTCCCGAATTTGCGCGGGATAGGGAGCGCAATTGATTGGGACACGAACCATTTTCCTTTAACTACAACCATCCTTTCTTTCCATTTCTTTTCGGATGAAGGGAGGTTCGTGCATATCCTCTGATAAAGGGGAGAAGTAAAAAAGAAGCGACCAGGCTCGGTCCCATGCTTAGATATATTGTAAGTAAGCAGAAGGTCGGCAAGGGTCAAATCTAGAGCCTCTAATTTCCGGCGCACCAACAGTGCCGAAAGGATGCGAAAGAAATTAGGATTTACCTGAAGGGGGGCGAGACCTAACTTATTGAAAACTAAATGATAGAAGGGATGAAGAGGGAATCGGAGGGCGTTAAGGTGCCCTACCAAAAGAAGCAACTCATCCTCCTCAATTCCCTCGCCGGAGGTGAAATCGGCACCCTCGGGATATTCTGCAATTTCTACTCCCTCAGGAATATCAAATTCTTCCATTACCGAAGCAATATAGAACTTGATGCGGCGAATAGAGATGATTGCTTTCTTCTCTTCATGGGTAAGAATATAATCAGAGCCTGAGGAGGATGTTTCGGTTGGGATAGGGGAAGTACCTAATGGATTCAACGAAGGGCGATCTGTAGAAACCCTAGGAGGGGGAGCCCTAATGCGAACGGGGGAAGATGAAGGTGTGGATTCAGAATCCCCAAGGTTTGCACGTTCGGGAGTAGATGAAGTACTCATAATGAAAGATTGAAGAGAAAGATGCGAGACTAACCTGACAAAGCGAAGGAAGCGATGGAATGAAGGACGCAGAAGTGCAGCAAGGGCAAATGTAACTCTTGCAAAATCTTGTGTGACGGAGTAATAACGAAAGACCACGAACCGTTTCTGAAGCGAAGTAAAAACTGGTTTCAATTCCCTCTTTAATAGGAGCCGTCACTCAATTAAAAATGGAATTTGGGGTAAAGTGTGGAGGGAAAAAAACTCCCTCCAATAAAAAGCGCACACGTCACCACTACCCATATCTACATTCTAAGGACATATAAGGCCCATCATGCTCAAGCCCAAATTGAGGGTATTTACAGCCCAAGACCATTGTTATTTATCCTCCAACGTCCATCAAGGCCGAATCAAGAAGTCATCAGCCCAGCTTGTCGTCAGCCCAACGTATGAGTATTTAACATCCGGCCTGTTACCCAAGCCCAGACGGATCAAAATATATTCAGCCCAAGAATGCACAAATCCTACCATTTGAAGGATTTACTGTAGAAGGAAAATTCGGATAGGAAGTTCTGTACAAGGTAATTTCTATGTATGGAAGATTCGACAATGGAAAGAACTCTATTAGAAAAGAATGGTTATATAGAAAGAATTAGAGGTCAAGCAACGCGAGTTCTACCATAATTTTGCAATCTTTTGTATATAAATAGAGGCTAAGACCTCCAATAAAGGATCAAGCAATTCTACGCTTCTCTACACACTGTTCTTATTTATTTTTATTGTTTTTGAGTGAGTTGTTTTATTTTTCTCAATCATTATTGGTTGGGCGAAATTTTGCACCTACACTTAGCATATTACATTATAATTATGTAAAGAAACACTACATTTTTCGCATGTGTTGCTCCACAAGACCTTTTATTCATTATTCTTATTTTATTCATTCTATCAATCATAACACCATTCCACGGAAGGAACCGTGCGAGATAGAGGAATTCAAACCTTCTCACATGTTGTAGGTACAAATAATTCATTTAACTAAAAAGTTAAAAGAATAAATACAACTCACTCAAATAAAAAATAATTAATAACAAGAATAATTCAGAAAAAAACTTATAACGCTCGATACCCTTTATTGGAGGTATAAGCCTCTATTCATATACAAGAAGATGGTAGAATTATGGTAGGATCCTTTTGTTAAGCAGGACTTAATTAATCTGAACTGGACTTGAATTATAATGTAAATGGGTCGAATGGGTTTTTTAGCAAGCCAAGAGGTTAACATTAATAACCTTGGATCGATATTGACTTTATTTGGGCTTGATCAAGATTGGGCTATTGGAGAACAAATGAGGTTATACCTTATTTTAATGACATAGATGATTCTTATTGGATGGGAATTTTTCCCTCCACACATATGTTACATATTTCTTTTCTCTTATATAAATTTTCAGTAATAACTTAAGTATTTATTTATAAATACAAAAATCATCTTGGATGCATTACAATGTCACGTTTAGTGCATTAGAGGATGTGACTAAAATTCTCTCTTGATCAAATAGTGGTCATGTTCCGTCCCGTTAGTACATTACAAAAATATTGTAATGTTCAGCCCACTTCGTAATATTTTTGTAACTTTTTTTTTTTTGTCGCATAAACTTTCTTACTAACCGTACAAAATAGGAGGATTTCATCCTTAAAAGAGGGTGATAATCAATTTTTTTTTTTTTTTTTTTTTTTTTTTTTTTTTTTTTTTTTGTTAAAAAAATTCACACACGTCATTTACACAATCATTTTGTTTATTTATTGACTCGAATTCTCATATTCACTTTTTAGATTGCGGCTCATAAGGGAATTAAAGTTGTGCAATTGTCACTTTCGCACGAGGCGTTTTCATTTGTGTCTATTGTTATTCTGACTAAGGATTACACATTGTTATTCTGACTCAAGGATTACACACTCATTTTGTTTATTTATTGACTCCGAATTCTCATATTCACTTTTTGGAAGTAAAAACAAAAATGTGAAATTTATTCGATAAGAAATTTACTTTAAATGGAGTATTTTATTAGGGTGTCTAATATGGTGAAGTAAAATATTTTATTAAATAGTAGTGCCTGAGATTTGGGAATTTTGGACGAGCCAGCAAAAATTAACCTTCTTCTTCTAAGGTAGGAAACAAAAAGGTAACCCAATGTCTCACACCCTCGTCCCACCTGCGTCTTCACACTCTGTGATAGGGCCTCCCAAGCTTGGAGTTTCAAAACATGGCCATAGAAATCTTACACTCAACACCTCATTTCGATTTACCAATTCTATAACAATGGCACATTCAATCAGCAATAGCACAGCCAATAGGTGGTCCCTTCACGGAATGACAGCTCTCGTCACCGGTGGCACCAGAGGAATTGGGTTCTCTTTCTCCCTCTCTCTCTCTCTCTATATATATATATATGTGTGTGTGTGTATGTAGAGGTCAACGATTGTTTTTCTAGAACCCTAATTTTCGGATTTGGAATGAATGTGGTAACACTTTTTCTAGGTATGCAATTGTGGAGGAATTGGCGGGACTCGGGGCGAGAGTGCATACCTGTGCTAGGAACGATGCTGAGCTGAGCAGGTGCTTGCAGGATTGGGGAAATGAGGGTTTTGGAGTGACTGGTTCGGTGTGCGATGTATCAGCTCGAGATCAGCGGGAGAAGTTGATTCAAACAGTCTCTTCCGAATTCAATGGGAAGCTCAACATTCTTGTAAGTCCGTCTTTCTTTGTGTTGTTCCACAATTAGTTCGTCATGAGAATGTTAGTTTACAAATTACAGGTGTTGATGACATATTTTCTTATCATCCTTGTGCTACTACAATTCCTATTGACATGGATTTCAAATAATTCCTTGAAACTTGTCATTTGAAAATTGAAATCCATAGATAAAGACCTCACTCAAGTCAATCGATGCACATTATTTAAAACTTGAAGCTAAATTATTAAATCTAAATTCAAGGTATGCTCCTTAAATATTTGAACTTAAATCTATTATTGTCAAAATCCTTCAATTCAAATGGAGCCTAAGTGACTGGTTTATGTATAATTTGATTAAATTTGAGGGTTAAAAGGCTTGGAGAAGTGATAGAGCAAAGAATTTAAGTGTAGACGGGCCAAACGTAGATAATTATAAGATAATAAAAATTTCCAACGGAACAATAAATACAATGACTTAAATATTGATTGTAATGTTTGCATAAAGAAATGGACTGAAAATAGGATTGGGTAGAGGAATGGACTGAGAAAAGATTTCTATAGTTCTTCTTTCTCTTTCTTTTATTTTGGAGAGACATTTAGGGAGTAAAAGATAGAGATCGATGACTTGAGTGGAAGAGATGAATTGTTGCTGTTCATGGGAGAGAGAAGCTGATAATGTTTGTGAGAAAAAGTGAAAATCCAGAAAAATAAAGGGCTTGGAATGATTAAGAATTGTTGCAGTTCGTGGAATTATGCTTCCAAACAATTCCCCACACTTGTATTAATAACAGTAAGAAATTGTTAAATTTGGTGACAAAAGATTGATGCATGGAGTTTAGAGGGGAAGAGGCACTGTGGGGGTTTGGTGAGACATTTTGTACTCTGTAGCTAGACAACTGGGATGGAGTAGTTTGATGTTGATGTTCAAAATTAATGAGCCCAAGTAATTCAAGGACTAGGTAATTGAAGCAACTTAAATACCTAGATACCAGGCTGCACTTCATGTTCTAGGGCAGATAAAGAGTGAGCACTAAGCAATATAGTTGGCTTCAATAGTATGCCAGTGTTGAAGATTTGGTGGAAGTTGGGACCTATAATATTGCTTAGTGCTTTGTTTGCCCGGAGGGATGAAAAACCAGATGGAAAGAGGAGGCAAACCTAGAGAAGAGAATGCCTCATCTCCTTTTATTTGGTTGAGTGGAAGAAAAGAAAAGGGATAATACCAACGGGCCGGTGGCCTAGCGGTATCAGTCTCTTACTTCCTAAAGGGAGGGTCAGGGGTTCAAGTCTCAGTAGAGACGTGTGTGTGACTACCAACGAGGAAAAAAAGAAAGAAAAGGGTTAATACATTACTTTGTTTCTATATCCCCAATATACTTCATTTTAGACAATAAATATCCTTCTCTTCTTCCTCCATGCCCTCCTCCAGTTTTAGATGGAAGCAAATTGGTAGGTCAGGAGGAATACTTCATTCATCCTCCCATCTTTTCACTTCCTCTCTCTCGTCTACAAAACTATGGAAACATGTTCTATCTTCCTCTCTTAAGTTTCTGATCTCCACCATACATTGTGTAAAAAATGAATTTAGTGATTGGGTTTTTTTCTTAATAAGAATTTTAAGACATTCTCAAAGAAGTTTACAAATTGGCTGAATTTTGATACAGTTATGTGGCTGTACAATCCTTCTTGAGATTAGCATTAATGAAACGTCCGTTCTCTTTGCCCAGCTGAAAAATTGTGTTCTCCATTGGTCATAATTAAGGAAAGAATGGATTTAAGCAACTCTAAGTACACGCAAATCACCAAATGGCTCAAAAACATCAAAGCTTTTAAATTTATGTAAAGGCCCTAATTGTCCATTGTACCAGGCACGCGACAAGGTCTAGCATAACAAAAGGTTGGACTTTTTTTGTATGATCAAGACTTCAGGTACATTGGATTTTTTTTCATTGCTTTCCTTTTTTTCCTTTTCCGTTTTGTTTTGCATTGTTTGTTAAGGTGGCTCAAATTCATTGGGTCAATAGTGTGTGTGTTGCTGGCATGGATGAAGATGATTGGTATGAATTATGTGACTATATGCATTGAATGTGCAAGTAATCTATGTGAGGTGGTGGTCAATTCATGGAAGAATGAAGTCAAACATTGTGTGTGCATTAATGGAGGCAGTGCATTGTGCCCTGAATGCAGAAAACTTAAAGAGAAAGGAAGTACGCTTTGGGACAGCTTTGAGCAGGCTAAGTCGACAGATGCTGTTTATAGATATGGAGTATTAGAGCAAAAGAACTGAGAGTGAAGAAAAGAGAGAAAAGAGAGAGAGATTATTGAGGGCCAAGAGTTAGTGTATTCCTTTTGAAAAGAGTGTCTTCTTTTAGTGAGTGAATGTGGAATACCTCTTAGTAATCCGTTGAGAGTTGTAATCTTTTCTCTTATTGAATAAAAGTTCTAGTGTGTGATTTCCATATTATTTTCCTTTTTTTGGCATTGCATATTTGTTGTGTGTGATCTTGGGTGGATTGATTCCTAACAAGGAATTTATAACAAAAGGTATCGAGCCATGGCGGTAACTCCAGATGAAAAGTTTGCGGTCGAGAAATTTGATGAAAGAAAGAACTTCAGTCTTTGGCAAGTACGGATGCGAGATCTTTCAGTTCAACAAGGTTTAGATGAGACGTTGGACAATGGACCAACAGGAATGGACGACAAAAAGTGGACAAGTTCAACTTGAAGGCAGTGAATACTATTCGGTTAACTTTGACAGATGATGTTGTGTATGATGTAATTGGAGAAACTTCTATGTCAGATTTGTGGAAGAAATTGAAAGATCTTTTTACGGGAAAAAATCTCACTAATCGGCTAATCTTCAGGCAAGGGTTGTAGTCCTTTCGTAGAAAAGAAGGCTTGGACTTGCATGACCACCTCGATGAGTTCATCTATAGTTGGTGTTAAATTGAGAGGGGAGGATAAAGTTGTTATTTTATTCACATTGGTACGCTCCACTTGTAAGCATTTGTTTTATGTTTTGCTTTATGGGAGAGATACCGTTACAATGGAGCAAGTGAATAGTGCTTTATTCTCTAGTGAGAAGATGAATAGGGAAAAGGAAAGAAATAATTAAAATGATCAGTCGCAAGCTCTTGTTGAGAGGGACTGATCATTTTATTAAAAGAATAAAACTACCCAATTAATTAAAACAACTAATACTAAAAATCAAGAACAAAATTATGGTTTGCTTATATATATATATATATAGAGAGAGAGAGAGAGATGACGAACGTACACATCTTGCTCTTCTTATCATGAATGATAGGAAGAGCAAAGGATTGGCTTTGTCTCCATGAAGAAGAGGAGGAAGAAGAGCCATCTTGATCTTATGTCTTGGAGGATGAGGATTGGGAAGGTGGGGGTTGAGGAATTGACATGTTTAATTGTCACACTAAGGCCTCCTAGAGAGAGAACTGATTGGATATAGTGCGTGTGACAAAGTGACTTCACACTCTCTTTTTGTTTGTCAAACACGGCAGAGGAGAAGTTTGGCTCAAGAAGAAACACATTGATGTCCACACAACAGCCACTTTTTCTCTGTAGCTGTCAACAAATTATAATATGATAGAAATAAAGAACGTACCAAAAAGGTCACTGAGACTTGAAGCTGAGTGCACTGTTAGGCTATTTCTGTTAGCTGTATGTTGTTGGTTTCTGGTACTTGTATGTTAAAACTGGAATGCATCATTTTCTTTGTGTGTATATATTTAAGCAGACCATATATTTGTTCTTGACTTTTAGTATTTGTTGTTTTAATTAATTGGGTAGTTTTAATTAAAAGAATTGAGGAGCTTTCTCTTGCATCGTGAGACTTGAAGCTGAGCGCACTATTAGGCTGTTACTGTTAGATGTATGTTGTTGGTTTCTGGTACTTGTATGGTAAAACTGGAATGCATTATTTTCTTTATTCTTTTCCTTGATGGTTTTGATCTGTAGATAAATAATGTAGGAACAAATATACGGAAACCAATGGTCGAGTTCACAGCTCAAGAATTCTCTACGCTTCTGGCAACCAATTTTGAATCTGTCTTTCATATGTGCCAACTTGCATATCCTTTTTTAAAAGCATCGGGAGCAGGAAGCGTTGTATTCACTTCCTCCGTCTCTGGGTTTGTTTCGCTGAAGTCTATGTCTGTGCAAGGAGCAACTAAAGGTATTTTATGTATTTGATACGATTTTTTATTGCAGGATGTTCCGATGCCTTTATAGTTGCTTTTAGAAATGTTGCGGTTTTATTATTTATTTGTCATTTCCAGGAGCAATTAATCAACTTACCAAAAATTTGGCATGTGAGTGGGCCAAAGACAATATCAGGAGCAATGCAGTTGCACCTTGGTATATCAGAACCTCTATGGTGGAGCAAGTAATTTCCTTTTCTCCTTTGTAAACCATAATTTGAAATTTTGGCTGTGTTCCTTGCATTGTCATACAACCAATCGTGGTCCAAGCTATGGCAGACCAAGGGCACTTATTACATTAGGCCATGGTTTTTAATTTATGAATTCATGACCTAATTTTTCTTGCAAAATCTGATTATGACCAAATTAATGAAATGATGGCTAAATTTGACAGTATATACAAATTTTTTTTTTTCATAATTTTGGCTGAAAATTTTATTTTCTTTCTGTAGGCAACATGAGGACTTGGACTCGTTAAGGAAGCTAATGTTTTTCCTTTTTCTTTTCTTTTCATTTTTTAAAAAAAAAATATATATATATATAATAAATAAATAAAGTCTGGCTGAAATTTTGGACCCAGTTCATTTCAATAGATTTAGGTGCATTTATGAATCAATATATGGCTTACTAAATGCTAATATTTAAAATCAGGATCAGGGATCTAGCTTCACAAACATTCTTCTGAACTTATATGTACCTTATAATTTTGTAGACAAGAAGTGATGAAAAGTAAAACGGATTAAAAGGAGAAACTCACACACGCCCACATTTCTCCTATGGGAATTGAACCGTTGACCTTTTACTTGGAAGGTGAGGAAGTACGACCGAGTTACAGTCCTCGGTGGTTAACTAGTATAATTTCTCTTGCATTGGCAACGGGTAACATTTTACAAGAACGCCACCTAATAGAAGATGATAAAATCACTAGGAGTCTCTTGCTTGATGTGGCAGCGAAGACACTGTTTACTCAAATCTTGTCAGTCTGAGTTAGGATCATGAATGATATTTAAGTTGATTTTTTGTTGCTGAATGGAAAGGAATTTCTGCTACAACTATTAATACTGTTCTTCATTTGTTGTTTCAATTTAGTTGAATATTGAAACAAGTTTTCAGATTTTTGATGCCATTAGCTTTGAACCTGATTAAATATTGAAAAAAATTCAGGATAACAATTTTTTTCTGGAAAATGGTGCCGTCGAGCCTCTTAGAGCACCCCATATTGATATTGCCTATTGGTAGAAATTTTGAAACCAGAAGATATTGTGTTCTTGTCATCATAGTGAAATTTCCTAATTTTCAAAAGGTCCTTCCGTTGAATGAAATTATGCCATGGATTATTTCAGCCAACATTGATATGCCATATTTATGTAGTATCTGACAGATTTTATAATTTGCAGTTTTGATCTATTTTTCATTCCGTGATCTCGATTTCGTATTTGTTTCCAGGTTCTCAGCAATAAAGAATATTTGGAAGAGGTATATTGTCGAACTCCTCTTCGGCGTCTAGGAGATCCAACAGAGGTCTCATCTTTGGTGGCTTTTCTTTGCTTACCTGCATCATCTTACATCACTGGCCAGATAATTTGTGTTGATGGAGGTATGTCTGTAAATGGTTTCTACCCTGTAAATGACTTCAAGCAGTGACTTGGCAATTTTTCTTGTTTACACTTTGTAGTCTGCATACCTAGAGAAACATTTTCCTACATGTCATTGTTTATAGATTGTGTTAAGAGGCTCCAAGATCAACTTGATCCACTTATGGATTTATCTAATCCCAAAATTTTTGTTTATTTGTTTATTTTTATTACAGTATTTTTTATGTCTTGTAATGATGGCAATGCCACTGATTGTATTTTCTTCACATAAAATCATATTATTTTTAGAAACGTAGAAATGTATGCATGACCCAAATTTCATGAGTGTTATCAGTTCAGACGAAGATATTCAGAATACCCTTTGGATGTGGCATCATGAATTTCATTTTTGACCTTTGAGTGTTAGCTAACACTAATTAATTTTTAAAATTCTCTAATTTAAACTAGAAATTAAAATAAAAGTTACATACTCTAGTTTTGTTTTATGAAAATTACTAACACAAGTCCCAGTGACTTTTCATTGTTAATGAAGATGAAAAATAGAGGAAACGAATTGATGGGAAGTAAAAGGAACAACCACAGGCTGTCCATTGTTTTTTATAAGAGAGAAATCTATATATATATGATGAATCAAAAAACAAGGGTCTTTATATTCCTTGGAATGTTCCATCTCTTTTTTTTTTGTTGTTTCTCTGGTGATCCTTTTCTTTTCTTTTTCCTAATATTTTTTTACCTTCTATTGAGATATAATAGTAAAATAGAATTTTTTTCTTTTCTTTTCCGTTAATAAAACAAATCTTGATAATAATAATAAAAAAACAATTGGATGAGCTTCATTTTCATATTACAAAAAAAGAAGGATTAAAATCAGAAAACCTCCCATTACTTTCAATTTTTTATCATAAAATACCAATTTGTTTCTAAAAATCCCAATACCATTACAAAGTTATCATATTGTCCTAATTATGTTAGTTTGGGGCGTTAAAGTATTTTTAGTGACAAAATTACCCTTGCAAAAATATGTGTCAATCATGTGTTGTTACACTTTTTTTGTTATTCCAAAAATACTCCTAAGCATGTTAAATAATAGAAGCCACGGTTTACTCATCCACTGAAAATGATTAAATTTTAATGTTTAAATTAAAATTTAAAATAACTTGTGAGTGAAGGCATTAAAAGAATATTTAAAAAATTTACCATCAAATTATGCATTTCCTTTTTAAACTCAAACGAGGCCTTTCATTTTGTTTCTTTTTTAGAAATACAATAAATCTAACTTTGAAAATCTTCTTCCAATTGAGTTTTGAATTAATCGTCTTTTTGTTTATTTAGAATAATGTTTGTCTTAGGCCACATAAGAAGGAACTTCCTTCTTATAATGAGATGTCCCAATAAAATATCAAGGAGTGTTAAAAGTTTTAAACCAAAAAAAAAATAATGATCACGGGGAATAAAAATTGATCCACCCTCCACTCTACTATTTCCATCTCGTGAGTAGTATTTTTTGAGACCAACAAGAAATTGTAAGAGATGAGAGGAAATTATGAAGTTATAACATTAAAATATAATAAATATCAAAAGGGTTCCAATTAAAACAGGTTGTATATTGGGTTGATCAGATTTGGTGCATGATAGGTCTCTCTCCATTGACGGAGATGTTGGGAATTAACATCGTCTCTCTCCATTGAGAGCATCATATGCCGAGAACGAACCCAAAAATTGCAGGCAAGGACTTGGTCTTGAGTTTGGCAGGTAAACAAGGAGGGAGAGAGTTAGGGCCCAGAGGGGGCACTCCCCCCCCCCCGCGCGGGGGATTTTCTCTATATTTACTTTTATTATAATATATATTGTTCTTTTATTTATACGATTTTTCAAAATAAGAATTAAACTTCTATAGTTGGAATTTTATTCAAAATGTAGTGGTTATCCAAAATCTATTAGTTTGCCATTTAAACATATTTAAAAAAATTATTAGCTATCCTAATTGTTGTCAATTTTTATAGGCAAAAGAGCAAAATACTCCCCTATGATATACCAATGTCGCATAATGCTCCCCTGAATTATTTTTTGAAGCAAGTTACCACCTTCAACTATCAAAAGCAAGCAAAGTGGCCCCTTAAAGGTCACCAAAAGTTAATTTCCGACCAACAGAAGAGTACAATTACTAATTTACTCTTACTTATTAATTTATTGTAATAAATCAAAATATCTATTATTATGAAATGACCATTTACTCCTATCTTGTTTCTCCTTTCATTTTTTTTCTTTGCGTTTTTTTTTAATCTCCCTGCTCTCTCTCTCTCTCTCACTTACTTCGCCACCCATCATCCACCAACCATTCTCTCTCTTCTCCACCTCATCCATGTCCGTATGTGTATGTGTATGTGTATTTATCTATAGGCGTGGACCATGACCAAATTTATCCCTTCATCATTGAAATTTCTGTGTGATGGGAGAGAATTTATCCCTTCATCAAAATCTGGTTTTTAACTGAGAACTTATTCTTTATTGTTCTTCTTCAACAGACTTGAGTTTATACTTTGAACCTGGTCAAGATATATATATTTTTTGTTCTTTTACATTGTTAAGTTTTCCTTTCAAAGTGCTGACTTGTTCATTGGGGTCTTCAGTTGGGATCAGTGTATGTTTGGGGAGCAAATAAGCATGTCTAAGATGATGATAAACGATAATTATTCTGTTTCTGAATAGCTTGCTTTGGTTGAAAACTTTGAGATTGTTCTCATAGTTCTTTGTGTTTTTCAAAATTGTATTGGCTTTCCAGGTTGTAGTTATTGCCTTATTTCTGAAGTTGATGCCTTTGTAGGAGTGGACTGTGGGAGAACCTTTGGGGCTAGCTGTTAAAAGCGATCGATTGTTGTGCAAGGGAAAAATTTGCTAGTCAGGGACTTCAAGAGCAGTGATCCTTATTCTCTCCCATCACACACAAATTTCAATGATGAAGGGATTAATTTGGTCATGGTCCACGCCTACATACACATACACTTACACATATACATACGGACATGGATGAGGTGGAGAACAGAGAGATAGAATGGGTGGTGGAGATGATGGGCAGCGTCATCAGTGGAAAAGAGAGAAGAGGATTGGTGGCGATGGTGGGTAGCAAAGTAAGTGAGAGAGTGAGAGAGAGAGAGAGAGATGAAAAAAAAGGCAGAGAAAAAAAAAAATAGGGGCAAAGTGGTCATTTTAATAATAGTAGATATTTTGATTTATTATAATAATTTATTAAGTAAGAGTAAATTAATAATTATACTCCTCTGTTAGTAGGACCTTTAAGGAGGTATTTTGCTTACTTTTATAGTTAAAGGGAACAACTTGCTTTAAAAAATAATTCAAGAAGGCAGTACACAACATTGGTATAGCATAAGGGATATTTTGTTCTTTTGCCATTTTTATATTTAAATTGTGGGGTAATTAGTCAATTTTTTGACATGTGTAAATGATTTAATTTTTCAAAAATATAAAATAAATAATGATATTTTAATAACTTATTTAGTTTTTTTGTTTATCAAATTGTGAATTTTATAAAAGATTTTTTTATTTAGTTTGAATTAAATTATAATATTTAGTTGAGGATAATTTTTTAATTTATAAAATATCAAATTTTTCTTAAAGTAGTATATCATAAAAGTAATTTAATTATTTAACCTATTGACAAAATTGAAGCAATATGATAATTTTGTAATAGTGTAGCGCTGATTTTATGATTTTAATCTTAAAAAAAATAATAATAATAAATTAATATTAACTATGGCAGTGGTGAACTTGTACCCAACATGTGGTCAAAAAGTAACCCTGTTGAGCCGCTGCTTGGGTCGGGCTGTTGTAGCAAATTGTGAGTTGGTGTAAACATTGATCGCCACTTGGCACTATCATACCTTCCTCCTATCACTTTCATTTAAATAGAGACTGGTGCCAACAACACTCTACACGTGGATGGACTCCACCATTCGGCAATTATTTTGGTCCCACCTACCGTACTGTCCTACTTCTTTTGGAGAGAGTGCAGTTGTTTTGCCAGCAAATATTGTACACTTGGAAGAATCTCTGCGGCTTTTAACATTTCTGATGGGTCATAGCTAACAACTCTGTACTTTTTATAAAATACACTTGGAAGAATCTCCGGGACTTTTAACATTTCTGATGGGGTCATAGCTAACAACACTGTACTTTTATAAAATACACGTTGACAAATTAAATTTTAACACGTGGAAAGAAAATCTTCTGCTCATTTTGCTGCTTTTCCTCATCAAAGTTTGTCTACCTTCTCTCGTGTAAACCTAATCTCTATCATTAATTGTATTAATTGGTGGTGTATAAAAACAAATTATATTTATAAATAAATTCGGAAGAGTAGTAAACAAAAAAATTTAAACTTTGTTAAAGAGTGGTTTAGGGAGGGAGAGGAGAAATATTCATATTAGTATATTTTGAATGGTTGAGTTATATATTTATTTAAATAATATTTAGGTCTTCATTAATAAAGAGCAACAACATATTCACCGTTATATAAATTAATAACAAATTGACTTGTGATTTTTAATTACCAAATCAAAATTGGTATTCTCAAAAATGTGATTTTCACTAGTGAGAACCTAAATATTGTCCTATTTATAATGTGAAAACTGTTCTTCTAGAATGGTTATGTCTTCTTTAAAAAAATATATATAAACCTTTCAATAAAATTATGTCTTCTTTAGTAACACATTTTCAAATTTAAACACAAATTGTAACAGTTAACAGCTAAAAATTATTTCACAAACTCAAGAAAAGTTACATAACCTAAAACAGAATAAAACGGTTCATTCGGTTAAAATTAATGATGTTAATAAAACCTTACTTGATAGGCTAAAATCTGGCCTATAAGCTATCCAAGGCACATATTGGCACTGTTGAATTATGAACTGATACATTTTCATTGCAATTAAAGTCAGACAAAAATACATCAAACGTGACTAATTGGTCCCCTGTGTGAAAACATATACATGACCATTTTGTAAGCTTTAAATTCTGAAAGGATAATGGCATTAAATTCATATCTAGAACCACGTAAGTTTTTTATATATTTATATATCGATGTTGCCTTGACGAATAATGTACACCCATTTAATCTTAAAAAGATTTGCATCTCAATGTTTTATTTTGATTTTTGAATCTCAATGTTTTACTTTTATAATATTACTAG